CTTCATCTCCTCTCCCCTCCTCTCCTCTCAACTCCTCCCCTCCCCTCCCTTCTCCCTCCCCTCCTCTCTCTCCTCTTCTTCCTGTTCCTGCTCATCCTGCTCTCTGCTCCCTCATGCATTTCTGCTCCTTGTTTGCTTTTTATAGGGACGAGCGCATTTAAGGGAGAGCATGAGGATACGAAAGGAGAATGAGAAAGGAGGATGAAAGATCAGCGGGAAAGGTGGAGGTTGTAGCCGAGCAGGCGAGATGGATCAGGAAAAGTAGGTTGTGCGGGAGAATGGCATGTGAATGCAAGTAGACCTTACACTTGACGATGCCGAAGACGATGACGAGGAGGAGGAGGTGAGGTTGGAGTAGGTGGAGGAAGGAGGAGGAGGAGGAGGAGGAGGAGGAGCAACTAGCACAAGGGCAATGAAGCAGGCAGAGGAAGGAGTCAGAGGGCTGTGCTCCTGCTCCTTCTGCTCCTTCTGCTCCTATTCCTGCCACGGCCCTCTGACATGCCGTAGCAGGAATAGGAGCACGCAACATGAGCGGGCTGTTTACCTCCATGCGGGAAAAGCTACGGATCAAGGAGCAGGAGGAAACGATCTTCGCTGCTCGGTTCCAGGAGCTCGCAGGAGGAGGTGCAAGGATATCAGGGCCCGTGGCCGCCACTTTCTTCAAGAAATCCGGTCTTCCCACACTGACTCTCAAGAAGGTAGTTTGCTCCTCCTCCTCCTCCTCCTCCTCTCCCTTCTATTATTGATGCTCAACCTGACTTGTTGTATGTAGATCTGGGACATTGTTGATACAGCGCGGATGGGAAGCATCGACTTGGTGATTCCCCCCCCCCCTGTATCAACAATGTCCCAGATCTACATACAACAAGTCAGGTTGAGCATCAATAATAGAAGGGAGAGGAGGAGGAGGAGGAGGAGGAGCAAACTACCTTCTTGAGAGTCAGTGTGGGAAGACCGGATTTCTTGAAGAAAGTGGCGGCCACGGGCCCTGATATCCTTGCACCTCCTCCTGCGAGCTCCGGGAAACCAAGCAGCGAAGATCGTTTCCCTCCTGCTCCTTGATCCGTAGTTTTTTCCCGCATAATCAAGCATAATC